TGTCTTCCCCCATGCTGCCTCTGCCTTCTTAGCACAGCAACAGCCTGGCAGCTAATATTTGAATAGATATAGGTTGTTCACAGGCTTGTCTGTTTTCATGGAGCAAGAATTGGCGAAAGAAATCCTAAGTGTGATGCTGGGTCTTTTAAGACAAACTAAGTCTACAGTCAATCTCTCTGTCTCCCTCCCACCAACTAGCTGTTCTAAAAGCTGAAGGCATACTGCTTAGTTCCTCTAGTCCTGGGGCAGTCTTGTTCAGGTTGCCTTTCTGTGTGTAAATTCTCCTCTTCTGCCTTCTCTACTTTAGATTACAGTATGGTATGTTTATCACCTGTATTCTACAATGGAAACCAAAATGTGACAGCAAAGTAGAACTAGAGTTTTCATCTTGCACTGGCTACCTCTAGAACCTGAATTACCAAGAATGTGAGTGTAGCTGAATGATTTTGCAAATATGTACTCTCATTTGAACCACAAAAAATTAAGGTTTTTCTCCTATGGAACTAGGGAAAAATCCCACATTGTCCTAATAGGAGGGAAGGTCTAAGTGGGCAGGTGGAACTAAATTCACTTCATCTCTTACTTGTACTCCCTGACTGCTGGGGTTTGTTTCAGAGCTCGTGGATAAAAAGACTTCCTTCCACTTTGAACCATTGCCCCAGGCATTGTTGCCTTCTAACTAGCCCAGGCCATCTTGCCTGTTCCTTATTATTGAACCTTTCCTTTTTGATCCCATTTCTTATCTGTCTTCGAACTTTTCCTTGGTACTGGTAGTATACTGTGCCCACTACCAGTTTGACTTAATAATTATTTTTGTTGAAGTCAATTTGGGCCAAATATGCTTTAGTTGAAAGTAAAGTGGTCAACTGGAAAATTGTTTCAAACAATGATCTGTTAAAAATTGAATATCCTAAATTATTAGGTTTTGAGTAGTGGTAATTTCAGTGATTGTAGGAGTAACCCAGTACTTCTGGCTCATTTTCTAGGTATTTTTGACTTTCTTCTTTTATACTTAAAGTTACTTTTCAGTTATGGCAGTACTTTGAGAATGCTTGGACAAGAATGATCTGAACTATAAAGCAGTAAGAGGCTAGTCGGAACAATCGAAACATCTAGCAGTAAGATAAAAGCATGTTTTCTTTATTGCTTTTCTTTTTCCTTCATTAAAAAGGTCGTGCTTGTACAGTACAGGACACTCAGAAAAATACAGATAAGGAATGAAGGACAAAAGAAAAAAAATGCCATAAATTACTTCACCAGGAATAACCATAGTTGTCTTGCTCCAGCTTTTAAACCACATTTCATATACATCAATTCTGCTTATTGTATATATTTTCCAGAATTTATTTAAGCATTCTTCACCAATATTTAGTGACTTTTGTCCAAGATTCAATTTTGGTTTGATTTTGTCTTTTGTTTTGCAGTTGTGAGCCAGTCTACTTTTAACTGGGACTAGGTCGCCATTTTCTTTTCCCTTCTATCCCTCTCTTCTGCCTTGGTCTGCATCCCTCCTGGGTCCCCAAGACATCCTTGCTTGCTTTAATTGAGAGTTTGTAAATGTTGCTGTTTTGCTAAGCCCAGGTTCAGAATTCCTGTGGAACTCTGCCTTATTAATTCAATATTTTTTGGAGTTCATGCTTGATGTATGTATGTTATATGTATATTTATATAAAGTAGATGTGAGAGTAAAGATTAGGGAAGAATCTCTACTAAAAGATAAAAATGTACTGCAGTAGAGAAATTCATCCTCATTGGAGGTAAATTATTTGAAGACATTTCCTCTGGAGCAAAGATATACTACCCGAACCCATGATATATGTGTATACCCACTGATGACTCATGCCACTCAGTTCTCAGATCCAGTCCCGCTAAAATCTTTCTTAAAATGGGGTTCTAGATGTCTGTGTCCTCCAGGTGGTATTGGAGATAAACCTACTTATCATTTTTTTCTGTGTTATGCTAATGCTTTCTTTTTTTTTTTTTGGGTCCAGTCATGGGCCTGAACTCTGGATCTGGGTGCTGTCCCTCAGCTCTTCAGCTCAAGGCTAGCGCTCTACCACTTGAGCCACAGCGCTACTTCCAGCTTTTTTCTTTTTGCTTATGTGGTGCTGAGGAATCAAACCCAGGGCCTCAGGCATGCAAGGCAAGCGCTCTACCACTGAGCCACCTTCCCAGCCCATGCTAATGTTTTCTTTAAAACAGTAGATTGACCAAGAAAGTTATAATAAAATGTTTTATGTCTGATAAGCAAGTTTATGGTGATAAATATGAGATGTGAGTGAAGGTAAGATCATGGAAACAGTATAATTAAATTATAGATTTGTCATGGAGTGAACACAATATCACAATAATACTTATCATTATAAATTACCCACTGTATGGTCATGGTGATTGATGCCCCCCATTCATTGCACTTCAGATGATTAGCCTAAGCAGCAGTCCCATTTCCCATGTCAGTGAAGGGAGAGGAGTAACCTGCAAGTTGTTCTGGTCAGGGAGATAGAAAGTCAGGAGGGGACCAAGTGCTCTGGGAAAGGACTTTTTGACCCTGAAAGAGAAGACAGAGCTGGCACCTCTTCTTCCTCTGATGTGTGTCTGAGTTTGGTGACTAGAACTCTTCTAGCCATCTTGGGGCACTGAGAGAGATTTGCTTTGGGGTGAAGCCAATCTAAAGGATGGCAGAACAGAGAGATGGAGGAAGCCCAACATTGATGACCTTACTGAACTGCTGATTGCATTATTCTTGGTCTTTTCTTTGAACTTCCAGTTCTGTGAGATAACACAGTTCCTCATTGTGTAAGTCAGCGTGGTCTGGGACCTTGTCACTTGCAGCCAAAGCAGATTCATGTCAGGTGGATGTGATCCTATTCTGATAATTTTCTTATCAGGGCTCTTCCTTTCTCCTTTCTTCTGGCTTTACAAAGTAGATGTAGATTCTAAGTGACTATTTCTTAGTCTCTGTCTTTTCTAGGGTTCTGTCCTAGACTGAGGTTCTTCACAGACAACAGCAATGAACCAAATAACATTTCTCCTAGAGCACTGTGGCTTTGAGTTTTTATTTCTGATCCTGATGTAATTTTTTGCTTTGATCTTGGTCAGTGCTCTTGCATACTTCTGTTTTACATCATCTAGCCTCATAATTATTTGATAATTTATTTTCTTCTTTTCCTTCTCCTTCAACTCCTGTTCCTTGTATCTCTTATCCATTTCTCACTTGGTGAGTGGCTTGACTTTCTGGTGGGGGCCAGTCTAAGTATAGTATATAGTGTTTTCCAGGATTAATAGTTAAAGAAAATAAGCAGCCATATAGCTATTTGTTTTAGAATGGTGTGGTAAAAAGAAGAGTAGATCGGCATTCAATCCATTTTTACCCAGCACTTTTACTCCTGGCATAGAAGAAATAGACTCAGAAATGTTCTGGGAGCCAGGGAATTTGAGTTTTCACATATAGTTTCACTGTTGGCTACCTGAAAACTTGGCCAAGCCTCTTAAAGACACTGAGTTCTTTAAGATTGTGCCTACTGTCTCATGTTTTTGTAGCTATTACTACAAATGAAATAATGTTAACCTGGTAAGTGAAAAAAGAAAAGAAAAACTTGGAGAAAAAAATACTCAAGCGTAGTTGAATTTTGTGGTTATTTTTCAGTGTACTAATGTCAAGGTCTCTATAATAAGCTCTGTGTAACTTGTTAGTCTGGGTGCAGAAAGGCAATGGAGTATGATGAGGGGTAAATAGTAGAAGTGGGAATTGAAAAATGAATTTTCAATTAACAAACTAGAGCCCCCAAAAAGAAGGGGGAAAAAGCCACATATTAAGGGGGAAATAAAAGGTCAGAATGTCGATGTTGAGGTTTACTTGTTCAACCAGAAATTCTGGTCAGCCAAACTTGGAGAAAGTGAAACCAATAGAAGAAACACCCCCTCTAGTGGCGAGGGTCCAGATCCTACCCTTGGTTGCTAGGATGAGTGAGGGGAATGCAGTACTGCTTCGAAGTTTCTTAACTCCTTCTGATCTAAAATTAGGTTACCAAAGAAGGTCTGTAGCTAAGCTGTCCTTATCAGGAGAGTTCACACATTTCTCAGGACAAGAAATGTGAGATTTATTGAAAATTTAGAGGCTATGGTAACTGGGAAAGTTTCACAGTTTACTTTTATGAAGGCCACAGAGATGAAATTAGACCATTATTACAAAACTTAATATTGAACTGAGTATGGTAGGTACTTTCATAATTCCATTTACAAGGAGGTGAACCCTATGTTTAAACTATTTATAATGATGTAGAGTAGTCTTCATCTCTGCTCATACAAAATAGCAGCTATGGATTTTCTAAGTATGAATTTTGATTTGAAACTTTTTATGGTAATTCTGATGACCAGATTCACATTTTAGAAGTGATTTAATTACTACCTATGGAAAGGCAGTGAAGTTAAGTCTATTAAAACAAGGTTTCTTATGATTCAGGAACACAGGAGGGGGATCTAGTGTGTTCTTCGAAGATACTTATGGGTGTATGCTGTTGATGATAACAGTTATGATTATTTGTAAATCTCAAAGTCCATTCAAGTTTTCCTTGATGTAACTTCTTTCTAGAAGGAATTATTCAGAAGAGTCAAAATTTCAACGAATAAAATTTTTTTTCTGATGCTCTGTGTTGTATATATCTAAGGGAAATTTCAGTGTTGCATCTCTAATATAAATATGAATGATTAAGGCACAAGAAAATAAGTTTTGGTATAAAATGACATTCATCAGCATGCCATTTTTTTTTTTAAATGTTGAACATCATTGCCCTGAAGAAATTTGAAGCTTGCAGTAGCCCAGCCTTTAATATGTTTGGTAATGTTTCTTATGATATAGTAGTGAGAAAATTCTCTAGAAAATATAAATGCATACTTTATGTGTACATGGACAAAATGAAATTTTAGAGTTGTGAAATTAATTTTTATGGAACTAATATTCTTAGTTTGTGGTTATATTTTATAAACAAATTTTGTTTCAGGAAAGAAGAACTAGGTCCAACAGTAGATCAGGACCCACCTGTTGGGGAAAACCAGAAATAGGAGGAAGAAGTTATTGATGGCTCATTCTTAGCTGAGAAAAAATCAGTATGGAATAATTAAGGTCAATTACAGAATTATGGTTATGTGAGTTCACATATATTATTGCAAGGAAATTGTTTAAACTAGTTAATATACATGAGAGTAATAAACCAATTAAATGATCTCTTTGCTAAAATTAATATGTGATGGTAGTAAAGGATTGCAAGGAAATTGTTTAAACTAGTTAATATACATGAGAGTAATAAACCAATTAAAATTGCTAAAATTAATATGTGATGGTAGTAAAGGATGTCAAAGGAAGTGCAGGGCTGGTAAGGTTAATTAGAGCTTCTTCATTAAATTCTAATACTAAAGAAATGCTGTATACATTAGGACAGTCTAATTCTATTAAGAATTGATAGGATAACTGGGCATTGGTGGCTCATGCCTGTAATCCTAGCTACTCAAGAGGCTAAGATCTGAGGATCGCGGTTCAAAGCCAGCCTGGGCAGGAAAGTCTGTGAGACTCTTATCTCCAATTAACCACCAGAAAACTGGAAGTGGTGCTGTGGCTCAAGTGGTAGAGCACTAGCCTTGAGCTGAAGAGCTGAGGGACAGCGCCCAGACCCGGAGTTCAAGCCCAATGACTGACAAAAAGAAAAAGAATTGATATGATGTTGGCAATGCTGAAATTAGACAAGTATTGAGCTATGTAAAGGGTTTCAGGAAATGAGCTTAAATAACAAACTCAGGCTGTAAACCTCATTTGAAATTCCAGGTAAAGTATAAGAATAATAGTTCATATTTGTGTAAGATTTTACAATACTCTGACTATCCACCTGTACATGATCTCATCTGATTCTTTTCCAGAACTCTGGAGGATAGCGGTACACATTTGGAGGCTCTGAGAAGTTCACAGACTTGCTAAAGTAAGGTAAATAGTCCCCAAATAACGAGTGGGGCTAGAATGCTAGCCTTGAGTTCAGGCCCACGACAAAAAAACAACCAACTCCCCTCCAACAAAAACCCCAAATGACTAAATTAAGCTCAAATATTCAATTTTGTATTACTAGCAACATTAAAACAGTCAACCTTTTAATTTTTTGTGTAATTGGGTTAAAGTGGCTTAGTAGAGGGAGACTGGAAGGCATGTTGTAAGTGAGCTTTACGCACAAGTTAGACAACATAATTGGTTTCCTATGTCATATAGACATTCCAATTTGGGTCATGGAAGCTTGGATGATTCTTGTATGAAAATATTTGGAGGTTAGGACATGATGTGTCTTTTATACAGTTAGATCCACAGTGTGATTTTTGACACAGAATACATGTGGCCAGACAACACTTGGTGTGTGAATGAAATAATATTTTGAGGACAAGCCTCAATGTCACATTTTGGAAGGTCTTGAATGATGGGTGGAATTTTTTCATTCCATTAACTTTTTTTTTTTTTGTCATGGGGCTTGAACTCTGGGCCTAGGTGCTGTCCCTCCTCTCTTCAGCTCAAGGTAAGCGCTCTACCACTTGAGCCACTGTGCCACTTCTGGTTTTCTGAGTGGTTTATTGGAGATAAGAGTCTCATGGACTTTCCTGCCCAGGCTGGCTTTGAACCATGATCCTCAGATCTCAGCCTCTTGAGTAGCTAGGATTACAGGCGTGAGCCACCAGTGACTGGCTCCATTGACTTTTTGGAGATAATGGACTCACTGATAGGTCCATTTCTCATGACAGCCTACAACATTTTCATTACCAATAACCACTGGTTCTCTTTGTTAAGGAGACTCCTATCCATCAGCTCACTTGTTATTTATATGGGACTCAGCTCCCATTTGAGGTGTCAGGGTAGGCTTATTATACAGCTTTTTTAGACCTGTTCTCCATTGAGTTCTAGGGAGGATTCAGGCTTTTGCTGTCTCAAAAGTCTGCAAAATAATCAACTCACTGATTCAGATGCAAGTATAGGGACTTGAACTATGTGCAAGATTCTTCTATGGATTATGTTAAATTGTTCTTCCAGCCTAGCTTAGAAGCTAAGTATTGTCACCATCTTAGGTCAGTTGCCAAGTTCACACCAAAACTTCACCCTTTCTTCTTAGTCCTTCAGTGATAGCCTCATCCCTGTTTTGTTTGTATGTAACTTTTGTGAAATCTTATGGTTTTTCTATATTCTTTTTTTTTTTTTTGTTTTTTGGGTCTGGTCATGGGGCCTGAACTCTGGGCCTGGGCACTGTCCCTCAGCTCTTCAGCTCAAGGCTAGCGCTCTACCACTTGAGCCACAGCACCACTTCCGGCTTTTTTCTTTTTGCTTATGTGGTGCTGAGGAATCGAACCCAGGGCTTTGAGCATGCAAGGCGAGCGCTCTACCACTGAGCCACCTTCCCAGCCCGGTTTTTCTATATTCTTAAAGCTCAGAAATTTCTCTAGGGTATATCTAGGATACTGAGTCCTTTGGACCTATTAACTCTTGTCTCCTCCTGAGAGAAGTTTTCTTATATTGTGTTTTGATGATCAGGTTTCCCAGTATGGTCTAGAATACTTTTCCAGTGTGGGCTTCTCTCACTGGAACTTCTTTTTATTTCCAGTTAGACTTCCTAGACTTGCCCTCTCATTCTCTTTTCATTTGGTTTCTATTCTTATTTATTTATTTTTAGACAGTGTGATACTAACTTGCTTATCCAAATCACAAATTTGTTCTTTGTAAGAGTCTATTATACTTTTTATTTCTTCAATTGGAATTTAGAATTTATAAATCATGCTTAAGAAATTTTCCAATCTATTATTTTGTTCTGGCTATTCCTGAACATTCAACAGCATATAAAAGTAAAACATAGAAATGAAATAGTTTATTTTAGAAATGTGAGGTTATTCCAACTTTGGCAAGTAGTAATAAAATATGTCACTTTAAATAATGAAAGAAAAAAACCACAGGCATGGCAAACATATTTGATAAATCAATAGCAAATCTAGCTTAGATAAAAGCAACTGTTAGTAATCCAGGAAATACTTTCTTAAGAGCAGTGTCATAGTTAACATTGAAAATTGACATTGAAGTACTTGAACAGCGTTCCCTAGCATGTCCTGAGAGTGTCATGGTATATTAGACAATAGACATTTTTTCTCTTTATGGTAGTTCAGACACCCGAGTTCCTTCAATCTTATGACATTGCCAGTCCCTAGGGCCTTGAACTCTTATGTTCCTTTCTGGTAGAATTGCAAAAGAGAGTAGAGGATGTACCTTCCTTCTCAGTTACCTTGGCCTGGATGTGAAACAGATAATCTCCATACACATTCATATTTCCTTTAATTGGCCAGAACTTGATCTCATTCATGTGCACTGTATGTGCATGTGGTAGTAGGGGTTAGGAGAGAGATGTGGAGCAGCCACAGGTAAAGCAATAGACATTTTCATTTGTGGTTAGCAGTAGTGGAAATTAGGGCTACCTATATGAAGGGCACTGTGGTAGTAATCTATTGAATTTAAAAATATATACATACCTTTTTGCCCTCAAATTTCCTTCTCTGCAGTTTGTGTGTCCTAGTACTGGTGCTTGAACTCAGGGCCTCACATTCTTGCTCAGTCTTTTTTTTTTTCCTTTTGTCACCTGTGGGCTTTGAACTCAGAGCCTGGGTGCTGTCCCTGAGCTCTTGCTCAAGGCTAGCACTCTACCACTTTGAGCCACAGCTCCACTTTGGGTTTTTGAGTAGCTAATTGGAGATGAGTCTCATGGAAACTTTTCTGCCTGGGCTGGCTTCAAACCACCATCATCAAGTCTCAGCTTCCTCTGAGTAGCTAGTATTACAGGTTTGAGCATTGGTACTCTGCTTTCTTGCTCAGTTTTGTTGCTATGACTGACACAGTTGAACTATGTTTCCAGTTCTGTACTTTTTGTAGTTATTTTGGAGATAATAGTCTCCCCGACTTTTGTATTAAGGCTGCCTCCAAACTATGATTTTCAGTTCTCCTCAGTAGGTAGGTTTATAAGTTTGAGCCACTGGTGCCCAGCTTCTCTAGCAATTTTTCCTATAAAGTTACACACACAGCTATATGCACATTTACACTTAAAGGTTATGGAAATATTTCAAATGTTCATTTAAAGGGACTGAATGAATGCAGTATTGTATAGCCATCCATACAGTGGAACACTCTGCCACTAAAAGCAGTAGGTATATGTTTTGACTGATTGCAAAGAAAAAAGCAAGGTACAAAAATTGTGTGCATTTTTACTACTTAAAAAGAAAACCATGTATGTGCTTGTACGTTTCTGGAACATTTATAGAATGGTCACCAAAAAAAATGGAAGGATCACAAAAAGCTGGCAGTAGTGTCTGCTTCTTATTAAACTTAAGACAGTTAGAGGGATGAGCAAGGCGAAATGTGCTTTTACTATTTTTTTTCTTCTCCAGTGCTGGGGATCAAACCCAGAGGCTTGTGCATGCTGGGTGGTGCTGTACAACTGAGCTCCGTGCCTCTGTGTATGCTTTAATTATTATTTTTGCTGGTATTGGGATTTTTCTTGCTCAGCTGGTGCTCTACCATTTGAGTTATACTTGTAGCCCATGGTATTTTTTAAAAACTTTTTTAAAAAATTTATCATACTTTATTAAATTAATTAAATCAATTCAGTTTTAAAATCATGATATACACCTATTCAGATGTATGTAAATATCAGTTGTAAAATAGTAAACAGAATGGAAAGATGCTTGTAATGTATTGTTATGTTAAAAGCAGTGTATTGAAAAGTATGAACAGTGTAGTCTCTTCTAAATAAAGGGCACATACAAAAATATAATATTTTTTGTGGTTTTATTTATCTTTTTTATAATGAACATAGGCTATCTTTAACAATTTAAAGAAAAATTTAAAAAATGATAAAAAAACAAACTCAGTGAAACTTAATGGTTCTTATTGGCCTTACCATGAACCCTCCTCCCATTTCTTCTATTGAGTTAATGAATGCCTCCATTTTCTCTCCATGCTCCATTTTTCACACAATTCATCACATTCAATTTCATTTTTTTATGTACAGATTTGTTTTACCTACAGTGTACATTCTTATAGTACCTGAATCATTGGTTCATCATTCCTTTTTGTGTCAAGAGTAAAATTTTTCTTATAGCAGGTGTGCAGTAAGTAATTGAGTTAGCATGTGAAATGGAGCATAATGAATGAACGGTTGCTAGTTGATTCTTGTTTTTGTGTAATGCAGCCTATATTCAATACAGTACCTGCAAATATCACTAATTAGCAATACCAGTGACTTAGTAGATGCAGTTCAGAGCTGGGGGTGGGGCAGAGACTTCCTTTCTAAAATGATCTCTGTTTCTCTATCCTAAATTAGTCAGCAGGAAAAACATCAATCATAAAAAGTGATAATGTTAAAAATAAATGCAGGAATAATCAAGCTTCTGATGACACAATCCCTGTTCTGATATGTATGAATACATTCATTCTATTGATCATACAATTTAGAGCAGTTTTCCCTTATTTTCCTTTTCCTATTTCTCTCCTTTGGCTACACTCTCACCTATACACATTGATGTATTTTTGGTGTAGTTTATTGGGGGCCAGCTACGAATCAGTGAGGACAAACACAAATAAAAGATTGGGGAGCTGAAAATGTGATTTACAGAAGTAAGATTCTGAATTGAAAATTACTTAAAAATGGATATTATGGTCTGGAGTCACTTCCTTTTTTAATTTGATTACCCCTGTGCTATTTTCATCTATGCATCATCCCTGTATTCTACTCACACAGGTCTATTTGTTGTACCCCATAACTTTCTTCTAGTGGCTTTCCTGAGACATTTTCCTTTTGGGACATCCTCTCCATGTAAGCATTGATCCACGCTGAATGGGCCCCAGGATGCCCAGATAACTGGTTAAGCCACATTTTCTGATATATCTGTAAGGGTAGTTCTGGGAGAGATTTGGGTCTATAAACTAAGTGAATTGCCCTCTCCAATGAGGGTCAGCATTGTGAAACCTGTGGAGCATCTGAATGGATCACAATGACCGATGAGACCTACTTCCCTTTTACTTGATTGGGACACATACTGTCTTCTAGTTTTTTAGCCCTTGGTCTTCAACTAGAACTCATACTCTCAGTTATGAGTCTCAGGCCTTTGGGCTTGTTCCCAAATTACACTGCCTTCTTTTCTGGGTCTCCAATTTGTAGACCAGAGATCATGGGACTTCTTAGTCTCCATAGTCACATAAGCCAATTCCTCATAATCTTCCCCCATATGGTTTCTGTTTCTCTGGGAAACCCTAATATAACTACCTTCTCATAAACAGCAATTCAGATGCCATCCTTACTCAAATCATTGCAGACTCTGCCAGTCATGTTTCCTCTTTCTTCCACAAAATGATTATCCTCCATTAGATAAATAATTTCTTTTTATTCATCTGTTCTATACACATCCATTGAGGGTCATCTGCACATGTATTCTTCTGGGAGCTAGAATAAGAGACCCTATGACATTGTGTCCCAAAAAAGCTCACAGAAGAATAAGTAGATAAACAGGTAGTTTCAGCATGGTGTTATGAGTGCAGTATGTTACAGGAGTTGCCGTTAAGTTACAGAAGTCTGGGAGCACAGAGGAAAAGAAGCTTATCTGGCAGGGCATGCCAAATTCCGGAAAGAGCTGAGTTGAACATTGAAGGTAGAGAAATGGAGGTCAGGAAGGGAATTTTCCAGACTGGTAGAAGTTGTTAGGGGTATGTGAAAGTGTATGGCATGTCTGAAGAATGACAAGTGGCTGAAGTTGGAATGTGAGTTGGAGTGGAGATGAACCTAGAAAGCAAGAAAGGGTGGAATGGTGATGATTGTTTTTTTGTGTGTGCAAGCTGGAATTTTTGGAAATTGATATAGAACCTTTGAGGGATTTTGGCTACAGGAGTGAGAGAAGAGTCTTGAATTTTGTGAGCTCTTTGGGGGCATTGTGACTTTGACTATAAGCAAAAAGACTATAACCTACCAGTTAAGGATGCTTGGGTTTGAATTTCAGCTTTCATACTTACTAGTTTTGGATTTGGAAGTTAGACATGTACCTAAGTTTCCTTAAGAGCTTCCATAAAATAATAAAGATGATGTTATTGAGTGTTGTGTGGATTAATGACACGTTAATGCATATAAAGGAAAGGCCTGGCTCTATACTTGTCATGTGATTACATTCCCAGTAAGTGTTATTCTGAACTGTTACTAAGTCACATGAGTAATTTGTGGAGAGGACCAGAGTGATCAAGAGAATCCCAGACTTCAGGAAACTGGACAGAGTAACATCCATCTAAATCCCCCTAACTTGATCCAGATTTCTCATGTCAAGGGTGTCCTTGGAGAGGGGAGAATCTCTTTTTTCCCCCTAAATTTCTGTACTATGCTGTAACTGCTTCTGTGGTTACAGTGAGATAATTACAGGTTGATGGGTTCTGAAGCAGTGAAATAAAATGAATTTCAGTTACCTTGGGAAATATCATTTGTGGTAGGGAGTTCTTATGGGCCCTTCAATTACCTTCACTTAACTCTTCCTTTGGGAGTTACATGTGAAATACATCTCTGAACTTTATGCAAATGTCATTAATTACAGGTTCATAATACCCATGACTGGAATAAAGCTAGTGAATATCTTAGTAGTGTCCCCCTTTAGGAGTTGGTTTGCTGGTGTTGATACGTACCATACCGTGTCAAACCTTGTTGCCCTATTCCCCTTTCCTACACTCCCAGATTTTTCCAACTTTAGGACCTGAGTGGGAGTCTCACGTTGGAGGATGTTGTGCAAACCACATGCGTAAAGAAAATAATTTACATTTTTCCTTTCTTAGCTTCTGGAACATCAGTGATTCTATCCTCCCACTTCTATTGGGCAGAAATTGAGGTAGTCTCCTTATGCTCTCTTATCTTCTCCAAAACCCACCACACGCATGTGTGCGCATGCGCGTGCGCACGCGCGCGCGCGCGCGCACACACACACACACACACACACACACACACACACACACACACACACACACACACACACACACACACACACACACACACACACACACACACACACACACCCTATTCCCTGCTGTGCATGTCCACAAGAGTCCAGCATAGCTACACTTTTTCCTGACTCAAGGGCCAAGGAGTGTACAGTGTCTTTGGTAATAAGTGGATCTTCCAAAAGCCATCCCACCCACCTTCCAGGCAAGTGCTGTGCCACTAAGCTTTGTCCGCACACCTAATGAATTTGCTTTTTTGTCTCCATCCTATCCTTTCCATTCATTACTATATTTTAGCTGTTTTTTTTCCCCTGTGTTTTGTTGTTATTTGCAATTTTTCTCTCTGTATCCCTTGGAAGGTTTTATACATTCAGTAAATAATTTTGATACAAGACAAGGTGTGTATTTAATGACAATATATTCAGATACAAAAATTGCAAAATATTACCTTGTTTTACATTTTTTTTGTTGGTTGTGGAGCCTGAACTCTGGGCCTGGGCACTGTCCCCCAGCTCTTCAGCTCAAGGCTAGTGCTCTACCACTTGAGCCACAGCACCACTCCCAACTTTTTCTGTTTATGTGGTGCAGAAGGATCAAACCCAGGGCCTCACAAGCCAAGCGCTCTACCACTGAGCCACATTCCCTTCCCAGCCCCTGTTTTACATATTTTTAAATGAGAACAGCTTGTTCCTAGGGCGTGGACCCCACCAGTTTTAGAATTAGTTGATTACCCTCTGCTTAGCAAAGGGACTGGGATGGATGGCTTGAAAATCCCAAAGAAGATCTCCTGTTAGAGGCAAGTCTGTGTCATGCCAAGTGGTTTTCATCCCAGCTTTTTACATTGCCCCTCAGTTCACAATGAAGTTCTCACAGATTTAATATTTAAGTCTATAAAGGGAATTAATAAATCAGAGGAGACATATACTGCCAGTCAACAAAACAACACCTACCAAATGATTCTACCTATATAAATTCTTGAATAACAAAACGTGCTGGTAGAAGTAGCAGCAGTGTTTGCTTGTGGATATGTGGAAATTTGGAGTGATAGATATTTGAAATAGTGGCTACATGGGTGTATGCATTTATCAAAAGATGAACACTTCATCGTATATGTATTTTATATTTATAAAAACCAAAATGAGGGGGGGCAGTAGGGGGCCCTGGGAAGGGATGGGAAGGGGAAACAAAGGAGGAGGCAACAATGCTTGATAAGAAATGTACTCATTACCTTGCTCATGTAATTGTAACCCCTCTGTACGGTATTTTCACAATAAAAAAATTTAAAGAAAAAACCAAAATAACAGAAAATGATGTATCATGTTAACACAGACCCTGAGAAATTAGTATTTTGGATATTAGGCAAAAATTTTAGCAAAGAACAATCAAACGGATTACAGTATTATTATTAGTTACCATATATTTCAAGATAAAAG